GGTAAGCATTAGTACTTGGATAGAGACCATTAGAAAAACCTCAGAATTGTAGGTCAGATGGCAAAGTTAAAAACAGCAACAGGAACAAGGCAAACCATGTGCCTATTACTATCAAGGAACTGCATGGTTGTGTCCATCTAGCCACGTGGGGTTTATTAACTTGACTATCTTTACCTGGTTTTTATGGCATTCCGTTATTCATCATTGCAGAGAGATTGAGCAGAACTGGTGCTATTCCGAGTCCTTCCTCTGCTGTCAAACTTGGTAGGCCTTTACTGTAATTAGTCTCTTTCTCCATGTAATCAAGTGCAATCCACATTCCATCACAGTCTACCTGCCCACTGAACCATAACTGAATGATCAGGGAGGGGGAAGGAATAAGTCAGACAAAACATGGGGGAGTTGCCATTGTTCTCTAGACATTTAGTTGTCTTCCAAAAAAACAAAAGAAACACACAGCCTTAGAGCTACTTAAGGGGAACAACGTTTAGATCTCACCAATCATGCTTTTACTTTCTTATATGCAAACAACGATTGAAAGAAAAATCTCTCCAGAAAACCTGGCATCTTGGCCAAAACTGACTGAGTCCCTGGTTGACGTACATGAAGATGCAGTGAATATAGCAGAGGTGGTGTTCAGCAGATTCTGACCAGTTCTGGAGAACTGGTAGTGGAAATTTTGAGCAGTTCAGAGAACTGGCAAATACTAGCTCGGACTAGCCCCGCCCCTATCTATTTTCTGCCTCCTGAGTCCCAGCTGATTGGCTGGGTCTTCTTTTGTTGCCCTACACAGGAGAACGGAGCTGAAAAGCAGGTTAGTGGGGTGGGGAGGGAATGGGATTTTGCAGTATCCTTCTCCTGGAGTGGGGTGGGAATGGGGATTTTATAGTATCCTTCCCCTGCCATGCCCATCAAGCCACACCCACCAAGACATGTCATGCCCACAAGCCACGTCCACAGAACCGGTAGTAAATTTTTTTGAATCCCATCACTGTTATGTAGAGATATAAACAAACGAAGGTTCCCCTTGCAATATGTTCCTCTACACACATTCACTCACACACCACTGCACACCCACATTCCATTCTGCTGGATTTAAGTTAACTCGAGCCTACATATTTTTCCTGCCCTTTCCCTCTCTCCAAGCCAAAAGATGAAAGCAATCTTTGCTGGCAAACCAATTCCAGGAAGCCTTTGAAAACGGAGCCCTCTCTCAGGAGAGATTGCTGTCAGGGTATCACAAGTTACAGAAGGAGGCAGATGGGATGGTTTGCTCTGTACCTCAGCATGCTGGCCAGGGGTGAGTTGCCGTTTGCAGTGGTGGCACTTCAGGCAGAGGGGATGGTAGTCCTTGCCGAGAGAACGCCTCCGCTCAGCTGTTAAAGAGAGGGGAAAGGTATGAATAATTGCAAAGCTCCAAGCCCCTCATTAATAGGAGAAGGTATGTGGAATTCAGCTTTGATCTGCAAAATGTCTTGCTGGAATTTCAGAATAAAAGGAGTAGAATCTGTAGAAAGTTAGCCCACCCTCCCTTCTCCTAGAAGAATGAAATATTCTAGGAAATATTAAGAAGGCTGAATATTATACCTCCTTGGATGAGAAAAGGAGATACATGCTCTTGGAAAGCAGCCCCCACCTTTGTTAATAGCCCCAGAAAGACTGGACCATCCTATCTACAAGACAAAAGGCTGGGCCAACTTATCTACAACACAAAAGACCTTCACGTCAGGACATAATAGGATTAGCCCTCCACCCATCTCACCACATGGCACCTGGGAAGATTACATCACCCAGCAAGATTCAACCAAGCTGGGACTCAAGACAACCTACAAAGTTACCCCTGCATGGCCCCATGGGAGTCTGACAACCAATCAGAATACATTTTTTTCACAGGAACAGGAAGCAAGTTCAAAGCCCAAGAGAGGATCTCTCTCTCTCTCTCTCTCTCTCTCTCTCTCTCTCTCTCTCTCTCT